TAATTTTTAGAAATAAATAAAAGTCACAAGGTGCCAGGTCGGACTGCACGCTGGATGGTCCATAAGATCAATGTTGTTCACCTTCAAAAATTCATTTGTCTGTTCGGCCGTGTGAGAACGGCATTATCGTGGTGCAAGATTATACGACGTTTACGGTTATTTTTACGGAGTTTGTCAATAACTTCCATTTGTTTTGTCAAAAACAAATGGTCGCGTACCAATCACTATTCACTGTACAACGATTCTCCAAAGCAACAGTAGCCACGTGTCCAGTTTTATTAAAAAAAGAAGCAATCATCCGCTTAGAGGCACTTTGCACGCGCGCCTCTTTGGTTGGTTTCGGCTCATCTCCAAAGACCCATACGCTCGATTGCTGCTTTGTTTTGGGATCGTAACTGTAAATCTATATTTCGTCACCTGTTACTACATCCCACACCAAATTTGACGCCCCTTCGTTGAATCTGGTAAGCATGGCACTGCACCAAGTGACGCGATCCGTTTTTTGAGCCTCAGTCAAATTGTGTGGGATCCACCGAGAGCACAGCTTTTTCACACCCAAATGTTTGTGTAGTATTGATTGTATTTGACTCATGCCTGTGCCTAAAGATGCCCGAACCTCATGGTATGTCACGTGCCTGTCTGTTTTGATCATGCAGTGACCATCACGAAATTCGTCACTGAGATTCACACGATCGCGTTTGAATTCTGCAAACCAGCTATAAATAGTCGTCTGGCATCGTGCTTCATCGCCAAAAGCAGTTTGAAGCCAAACGAAGCTCCGCTGAGCTGTTAAGTCACTCTTAAATTCGTAGAAAATCATACTACGTAAAATTTTCACGAGTTAAATCCGTGGTGACGTAGACAACCAATTTCTAAAACGACGCCACAATGTAAAAACAAATGACAGTCAGATGAAACAAAGTGTATTCTACAGCCAAAGAGCTCCATTTTCAAAAGTTGTAATTAGTTTTTAAATACTGTTTATGTAAGTGGCCAGTTCCGGAAACTTATGGTGCGCCCTATGTATTCTTCGTGTTGAGCGCCAGCTGAAATCCTTCGTGTTCTAAATATTACTTGCGTTGATTACTACCCGCTCAATAGGTTAAAGAAATAGTTTTTCATTACATTTGATTTACATTATTTCTCTTTCACAGCTATTGGCTATTGTATACTTGCTTGTTTGTAGGATGCAATTGCAAGAACAGAATAGCAGTATAACAACATAAGTTTAGACTGTTGTTCGAAAATGAGAGATACATTGCGTAATATGTAAATGTAATGTAAATGATAAATGGCTTTAAATGACAATTAAGATCATAATTGACAAGCGCAATATTCGAAAAAATAACACAACCATAATTTGTGACTGTAAACTTTACATGGTTAGTGTAGGACATACCAAACACTGACCTATTTTTACCATACGCCTTATTGTTAATTATTATGTGTAAAGTATGTAGGTATTACGTCACAAATATCTTCATAAAATTCTATACATAACTGATTCTGAAAGCGGGCGGACATTAACTTTTCTCAAGAGACAACTTTTGAAGAGAAAAAGAAAGCCCACATAGTTGTACATCAGTTAATACACGAGTATAATAATAAATTGCATTTTGTAATAGTGAAATTTATGGTAATAATTATAATTTGTCTTATTAGTACTTTTTTTTTCACAGTCTTGTCACCCAACCACAAAGCTGGGTTGTGGGTTAGGAGTGAGTTTTAGTAGCAATAGAGGTCCTTGTGAAGAGTTCGTCCAGGAAGTACTGCCACCTATTTCTGCCACCAAGCAGTAATGTCAACATTACTGTGTTCCGATTTTGAAGGGCAAGGGTGCTGGTGAAATTACAGGCACATGGGACTTGTCAACTTAAGTCTCAGATGTTTGCAATTCAAAGAGCACTGAATTGGCATGACAGGAGTTTAGCTTCCTATCAGACGTGTTGCATACTTGCATACAGCCAATGCTTTTTTCTATGCACGTAAAAAGGAATACTTAAGTCTATGGTTAAGCCGGTTCCCTTGTACCTGTTCCATGTGGTAGTAATTTGTGATAGACATATAAAATAAAGTATTTATTAAATAAAAGACTTTTCCCTGCTCGCCCGCACGACCACGCCCTGAATACAAACACAACATGGTGTCAGAACTTCGTGCAGAATAAAATCAACAAGGTATGGATCCAAAAATCATAACTTCAAACATAAAACCACTTTCAATCAATGGCGGCGACTCAAATGCCTCGGAAAAATGGCGTCATTGGAAACAAAAATTTGAAATTTACTCTGATGCTAACGATTTAAATAAAGCTCCAGACAAAAAACAAGTCGCAATATTTCTAAATTGTATCGGTGATGAAGGATTAGACATATATAACTCATTTAACATAGACCGAAGCACAGCAAAATTAAACGAAGTCATTCAAAAATTCGATGAAAAGTTCAATCCTTGCAGTAACCTTACAGTCGAAAGTGTCATGATTTGTGTAAAAACGTGTGTATTATTAACTTTTATATTTTAATAATATATTAAATAGTATTAAAATACAATAACTCTTGTGTTTTATACCGAATTATAATAAAAAGTTCTTTCGTTGATAATGTCCTTCAATAATGGATTCCGTAAATATATTCGATTGCGTACTATTTAATTGTTAAGTTTTGTTAAAGAACATTTTACTGTCATGTTAATTCGCAATTGTAATTGTGGTGTTTGATTGATCTTGAAATGATTGGTTTAAATTTACGTAAAAGATTGTAGCTGAAGCCGAGAAACGGGAAAGATGTTTCGCGCGGATGGCGATTGAGGAGCCATCTATAACGTAGAATATAAAAAGATATTAACTTGCGCGGGGCATTCTGTTCCGGTTTATCGACAAATGGAGTCAAGACATAGTGTTCTGTGGAAAATAAAAAATAATGTTTGTGCTCTAAAGATAGAAGTAAAATTGAATAAATAAATAGCATTTGAATAACTACTTTTGGATATTTATTTTATTACAAAAGATATAACTATTTTAACTTTTATTAGTTGGGTTGTCTGCAGACTGCCCTAGTTGTAGCGTAAGATCAATGTTAACATATTATTTTAGTGTCATTGGATGTCCATAGTATAATAGTTAACCTATATATAGTCCGACTGCTGGGCACACCCCTCTCACAACGGGTGGACATTGGCTGTAGAACCTACGCAGGCTTATTGCGGATTGAGAACTTCCTGACGACACGCCTGTCCATAACAGTTGCCACTTAAAACTTTAAACCGCAAATATGTGAGGGTCAAGCCCCTTGCAACTGCTCCCGTCCCCCTGAGATATGACTGAAATTCTTTACCTTTTTATCTACAACTGTGTGCAAGGTCAGCCGATGTTACGTAAGGCTTAACAGTTATTCTAATGAAGATATAAATCAATTTCTTTTAATACTATTATTTTCAACTTTAAAAGGGGCAAGTTAGAAATATTAAAAATAAACAAGAATACATGAAATGACTGTAAGCGAGTGGAAGAAACGAAAGAGATTTGCCAGAGACTTAGCGGTTAGACGGCCATGGCCTCTATATACATGTGGGTATGTATTTAAACTGATAACAAATGACGTAGACCAATCGAAGGCAAACTTCTATTACGCTGAAACTAAGGTTTATTGCTTTTTTTCAAGTTTAAATGAAGTATTAATCAAATCAAATCGACTGCAGCAACGTACAGTATCGAAAGTACAAAGTGCATACTTTACAGTAGACCAGTGTGAAGTTATATTTTGACTTAGAATAATAAGTTTTAATAGTGTCGTGAAAATGGCACCCAATTATGGTAGCTAATTTTATGTGTTTTTCTTAGACCTTAGCATGTTTTAAAATGTTATGTTTTTTCTAGATATTTCACATTCTATAGTTTACCTTGTTAGAATTTGCCAGAACTTAATCGAAACTGGCAGATTCGTTAGTATTCAGGGCCTGTACAATTTTCGGTACTTTTCTTTGACAGCTTTTATAGAATCAGTAAAAGTTTAACACTTTCGATTATTTACACTAAGTAATGAGAAGAGGATACCAAAACCAAACACTAATTTTATCATTTACTAACGTATATTTGTTAATTATGAAATAAATCAATTTTTTTGTATGGAATTATTGAATCATTACGAGTAACATAGATAAATTAAATCAAGTTTTAACTATAATATCTTAAATGAACTTTTATACTGTAGCATGAACTCATGCTATGAGTCTTTTTATGTAAATATTTTTTTTTTTTACTTTGTAACATAAAATCGAAAAAAAGTAACATGACGAAGTCTCAGTCTTGTTATTTTTTTATATATAATATCAAGTGATGGCACGAACAAGTTGAGCATCTGATGGTAAGCTACACGCGTATCCATAACAGTTGCAGTGCCACTCAGAGCTTTAAATCGCAAAGATCTGAGGGCCACTGCTACTGCGCCTGTCACACTTGGACATAATTTGACAAGTCCCCATTTCTCGTGATTCTGGTGAAACGTGACGAAGTCTATGATTATGAATGACACCAATTTCTGGTATAAATGTGGCGCTGATGTCCGTCTTCCTTCAATGTCAATTTTAATGTAAAGAAAGACGCGTATCAACTTACGCATGAAACGAAACAGCCTAGTCTTGCGTGAATGAAATGAAACGAACATAGTCTTTTTTTGACAGCCAATTTGAGCGTTCAAAACCTTTAGCTACATAATATTTGAGTGATTATTTTAATACCTTTTCTGGTTATTAATGTAGATAATTAATTACAACAACCAACTTAGTTTTTTGAAGTTGTAATTTAATTAATGCCTAAAGTTTTTGTTTGTCAATATCAAAACAATATTTAAAATTGACGTTTCCGAAAATATCGACAAACACGATGCTCGGTGTTTTTGCAGACATTATTTTGTGTGGCGATTGTGTTTTGTTTAATTTTTATCGTAAAATGAGTCACAGTATTCTGGAAAAGGCATTTATCAGGTTACGTTGATTGATATTTAATAACAGAAGCTTTGCAGGGAAATTTAGTTTTGAAATAGTTACTCCAAAAGGGTTCTACAGCATTTAATTTTTGTTTTGCAAATAAAAAAGCAAAGAAATGTTGGATAGCCAAAATAGTGACCGAATAGAAATGTGCAACATCCTCAAAGCCTTATTTATTATACTCGGCATTGCATTATTGTATAATAGTCAACAAAACTCCAAATCAAGTCCAGCTATAGTTGTTCGTGTAAATGATCCAAAATTCACTGTACTAGGACCGTATAATACAACAGAGTATGAAGTCGATGATCTAAACGACCAACTGATCGATTTGAAGAATTTTACCTTCAAAGTGAATCCACAACCTTGTCAAGGTTATGATGCTGGTTTGCTATTGGTTGTAATAATTTCTTCCAACCCAAATAACTGTGAGAAACGATCAGTTATACGTAAGACATGGGGCCGTCCCACAGACACTACCAAAGTGGTCTTTCTATTGGGCGATCCTGAGAATATTACGATTTCAAAGAGAATCGATAATGAAAGCACTACTCATGGTGATATTGTACAAGGAAATTTTAAAGACGCATATCGAAACATGACGTATAAACATGTTATGGGTCTAAAATGGGTAGCGCATCACTGTCCAATGGCTAAATATGTCTTAAAGACTGATGACGACGTGGTTGTAAATTCCCATGCTCTGCGGCAGTTTCTAGCCAGAGAATTATCCCCATGGGGAGCCAGCTCACTAATCACCTGCCAAGTTTTACAAAACGCAAAAGTTCAAAGAAGTCGTTCTAAATGGATAGTATCAAAAAATGAATATGCTGGTGGTTTTTACCCGACTTATTGTGCAGGTTTGTATTTAAGTAACAAAATTTTAATTTTATAAAAAGCCTAGTGATGACCTACGGCTCTGGTCACGTGGTCACTTACTATGGGCCTCATAAAAAAGCTCAAAGAGCAATGCTCGGTATTTCTCTATGTGATCGAATCAGAAATTAGATTGCTAAAAGAACGAAAGTCACCGACATAGCCCAAAGGATTAGCAAGGTGAAGTGGCAGTGGACAGGGTACATAGCTTGTAGAATAGACGGCCGTTGGGGCAGAAAGGTTCTCGAATGGAGACCACAAACCTGAAGGCTGGTAATGGTGGCAGGTAACTAATGGATGCACATTGCGTCCGACCGGCTAGTCTGGCAATCTATGTCCAGCAGTGGAAGTCTTCCGGCTTATGACTTTCTCTCGCACATATGCTTGCACACGCACTCACATGCACACACTTTCACAGACACACACATACGTACACATACACACACGCACGCACACCCACAAACAAATACTCTCATAAACATACAGCATAATCTGTAATATACCCATTGTTAGATTATATAAGTAACTTCAAATTAGTTATAATGTTTTAGGTGATTAGTTATTGTTTTTCAAGTAAGCATTTCTTTTTGTAATTTTTTGTATTTTACTCCCCTAAAGCACTAGTTGATGGTGGCAACATTAGGAGACTGAAATGACAACACATGTCCTAGGAGAGGCAAAAGCAGTGGTTTCCTCACTCTCAAACACCAAAACTCACTCAAACAATTCACTTATAGTCCGGCAACTGATTGTAGATAAATAATAATATGAAAAAAAGCGAGGTAACGGCCTGATTTGACAGCAATGTATATATCAAGTGTATTACTCAACTTTGTATATGGTTTTTCAGGCTGGGCAGTCCTTTACTCGCAAGACGTAATTCCAAGACTTTTGACCGTAGCTCAGAATATACCATATTTCTGGATTGACGATGTCCACGTAACTGGGGTCATAGCCGAGATGATTGGAGTGACACGTACACCGTTATCAAGTCTTATATTGAGCAGTAAAAGAATGAATCTTCTTACGTCGTTGGGACCAGAGTATGCTGGGCAGTTTTTGTTTGGTCCACCGGACTTGACTGTTGATAAAGTGTCCCAGATCTGGAAGGCTATACCTGAATAAATATCATATTGGAAGCCTACTGCCTTGTTAAGGTAAAAGTAGTTATTAATATGGACGATGTTAAAAATGTATAAGAGTTTGCTTATACATTTCAGTATCATAATATTTATAATATTCCTAAATGTGCTTATTTGGTATATATAAGCACATTTAGGAATGCATCAACAATGGCATGTATAATTGAAATTGTCTATTCAAATCATATATAATAGAGATAATTTTAAAAACAACAAGTTTTGTTTTTAAAATTATCATGCCCAGATCAGCCACAAATATAAAAAAAGCATGAAATCTATGATACTAATGGTTTTAAAATTTGTTGTTGTTTTAGCTATTAATAAGTTTATTTGTACATTATTACTATGGCATTCCATGTTGAGGCCGTCTTTGTTAGACAAGAAAACTTTGAAGACTTGTGAATTTTCACAAGTGACAAAGTCGGCTAATCAAAAGAATACAAACCCATCAGGCCTCGTCGTTTGCCATTAAGCCAGCCAGCCATGCAAGCTAGTGTCAAAAAAGTTTTTATTGCTTTAAATGTTTTTTGTAATTTTAGTGGTAACTGATATGTTAGAAAATGAAACTATTTTTTTGGATTTATATCGCGTATATTTGTTTTCTCAAACCAACGTTTCGGCCCTTTACAGGTCCCATGGTCAGTCAACCATGGGACTTGTAAAGGGGCCGGAACATGAAAATACAAATATATTTAAACGGAAAAAATATTATAAGTTCCTATGTGTAACGATAGCAAAAACCTAAGAATTCGATATATACTTGTTTTGTTACAAAATAATGTTTTTACTCATTGACTTACAAATAAATGGACGACGGATCTAATACAAAAACCACGAAAAAAATGTCCCAAGTCAACCTATTCGAAATTTAAATTGTTATGTCATCGCAGTATCGCGCTGTCCGTAGAACAAATGAAGACTAAAGCGGAGTGTCGCGCTCTGTATACGATTTTAGCGCCTTACAAGTGCGGACACTTTTTAGCGCGGACCCGACGTCCATATAATTGTAAGTCAATGTTTTTACTGCAAATGCAGAGTATTCACTACAAATTTTGTCATAGATTGTATTGTAGTTGTTAGTTACATGACCAAATTTTAGTTTTAAAGTTTCTTTGTGCCATCATTTCAGTTTACTATCAGAATAGATTAATTACCTTGACTTAATTAATAATTATTGCCTTTTTTTTAGAAAGACTGATAAAAGAAGTACTTTCAGACTTCTAAAGTAGGTACTAACCAAGAAGCTTATATACTACACTGGAGTTTGCACTAAGAACAATTGAATGTTGAACATAAGGTCATTCACCTATGCTGATGTGTCTTATCTTTTTCACATGTCGTATCTAGTGCAATGCAAGCAAAATAAATACCCAAAAATGAATAGTATAATTTAAAACAGGTACTGAGTGATTAGGATATATTTTGAAAAAGATGCAGTGTGCATGCTTTTAAATATTTTTTTTAGTTGCTTCATTTCAACTAGCAACTAGCTGAAATTAGCAAACAAAATAAAAATTAAAGAAAGAGATGCAAGATACAGGAAACTGAATTCAAGGTCTTTTTTCCATGCCTCAGTCTGACGTTCAAAGTACATACAATCTTCAGTGTAGTATGTAAGCTTCTTGATACTAACCGATTATCGTTATTATTGGCTTTTGATACTTCAAAGCTGTTACATGCTCCGTACGGGATGACTGCCAAGCGGCGGCTGACAGCTTAAAGGGCGTACATTCTGTCTACCCTCTTTCGTAGTCGACTACTATGACATTGCACTGTTAATAATAAAGTGACTAAACCACGAAAGTAACATTTTTGAATGTATATAAATATATGACTAAATTCTGTTTGATGTGATAAAAAAATATTTATATTCGTACGTTATTTAAAAATAAAATATATAACCCTCCTTGTCATAACTAACGCATTTGCATTTCTGTAACTTTCGAGATATTAAAACCAAAATGTTCATTGTCATTTAAAAAAATGTCAATTACGCTGAGTTTGTATGTAATATGTTATGATTATTAAACACAAAGATCGAAATCAGATGGGTTTCCGGGCGAGAAGATGAACCTGATTCCTACTATATCTTTTTAATTTGTGAGTTAAATCAACTATGGTTCCGGTTTGAAATGTCAAAAGTTTCCGCATCGGGCAGTTGTGAACCGCAATTATGCGCCTCGACTCAGAAGAGACGCGGTTTCCGATCGGGAGAGGCAATCAAAATCAAGCTGCTGGTGGGACCTGCAACCACGACCATGCACCGTAGCATCGCTCTTACCATCTGAGCCACAGGTCAAATTACAGAATTGGCGAAATTCTCATGTGTTTCTGTTTGCATTTTTTCGGCATTCATCGCCAGTGACATCTAGTGAGAGATTTTTGAAACCTTCTCGCGCTGATTTCGCGTAACAATAAAACTGAAACTAATTAAGATATTAAAAAATCGATTATAGAGGGTTGTCTATCTTATTTCGAGATACTTAATAACTTAGTTTTTGTTAAAAATGTCGATTACGTTAGTTATAATAAGGAGGACATAGTTTCTCTGTTACTTTTCCAATTTCGTAGCTTTATTATTGAAGGTCCAATGTGCATAGAAACTTAAACATAAGTTCCTCTATATACTTATAGTATTACCTTTTTTATGTATTGAACTATGTATTATTTATACCAAAGAATTTATTATTGCCATAGAATATTGAGCATATATCTATAATATACTAAATTGATACTAAAATATGCAGGATATCCATAAGAAAGGGTGGCAACACTAAGTGATACCAGACACCGTTAATTAAGTTTGTTAAATATTCTACTTTGTTTTTTGGATTTAATGTGATGTTGCTTATTGTGCTAGGCCTTACACAAATGTCCCTTACGGTATTGAATGTACGTATCTTACAATTTTGTTATTTACAAAAATTTGTTATTTACATCCACAATATACTATATATCATTAACACAATGTAAACAAACGGATAACCAAACAAAAAAATACATTTGAGACGGTTGTTTTCTATTTTTCAAGTTAATAAACATTTAGAATTCTTTTCAAAGTGTAATCTGATTTTAATAATAAGATATAAACTTAGAACAATTCACATTATTGCATTATATAATTTTACTTAACTTAATTTCGTTTAGTACAATAATTATACTAAAATACCATGTTTAAGGTCGTAAATAATTTTATGACACTGGAACACAATCGGGATTAAAATTATTTTGTCGTGTCATAGGATGTCATTCGTGTTTCGCTTCGCGAATGCGTGTTTTCTTATCTTCGTAGTGCGTTTGTTAAATAATTGTGTGTTATTGTTAAAGTTTTTGACTTATTGTTTATTGTAATTTGGTATATTGAATGTGACGATGTTTGACCACCATGATATTCTAATTGTTTTTGTGAAATCACTCCACTATTAATGTTTGTTACAATTATTAATACAAAGAAAAAACACTAAGAAAAAATTTCCTTCCACATGTAGATTTCTTACAGATGGCGTTGCGGCACTTACTTTCAGACTTTCAGCCACTCGGTCACATCATCGTTTCGAACTCCGACCTCTAGGTCGTTTGCTCTCAATCCTGCCTATCGAGACTATCAGCGCTTCTGCGTGCAATGCATTACTTTAAGAATAGGTAAAAGCCCGTGTGTGAATATGAGGGAAATGTGAGATGACATCAGCAATTGATGCAAAATTTGTATATAGGTACAATTCATTTTTGCATTTGAGTTACTTTAAGATACAAGCTTGGGAAAGCAAGGCGACGATATGTGTTTCGTCCAGTTCTCAGTGAACTCACTGAAGCAGAATGAATCCACAACAAACTTTGAATTTCATTCACATTTACTCTTAACATGCTAATGTAACAATTTTTTTAGGTCTATATCGCATATATTTATTGTATCAAACGAACCAAACGTACTGCGCCCTTTACAAACCCCATGGTGACGGCAGACTGAGATGGTAAAGTCAATCAACCTGTTATGTCTAATATTCAAACTAGTGCCGGCACTAGTTCAGTAGCGCCCGGGTGCAATCAATACCCTGGCGCCCTCGTGTTCAAAATTAAATACTACTTATATTTTCTCGAGTGATTACAAATTTGAGTGCATTTTTAAATGGCGTTGGGAAGCAATAAGCCATTTACATCGTTTGGGCCGCGTGAGACGCAAGCTCTTGGGGGCGTCGCAAGTGGCGCACCGTGGCCCGTAAATGAAGTCGGCATTGATGTAAATCTACACCAAATATAAAAATAAAACTATAAAAAATAATACTACTGCAGTACTGCTGCTTTTCCTGTTTCTGCCGCCAAGCACTAATGTGAACATTACTGTTTTCCGGTTTAGAAGGGTAAGGGTGCTGGTGAAATTACAGGCAGACGGGACTTGTTAACCTATGTCTCAGGGTGTCGGGCACAGTAGCAGTGCCCCTCAGATCTTTGTGACTTTAAAGCTCTGAGTGGCACTGCAACTATTATGGATACGGATATCGCTTACCACCAAGCACACGACTTGTTCGTCGTGTCACTTAGTAATATTAAAAAAAAACTATAGTGAAAATAAGGAAAATGGACCACCAACGTTTCGCGCCCTTCTAAAGGTCTAAAGGGCGCGAAACGGTTTGTTTGAAAATAGAAAACAATTACAAAGAAAAGGAAACATAGTGCCTTTTTCAATGTGTAACAATCACGAAATCCTGCGAACTCGATCTCTACATTCTAGTTTCACTTTTCTGTTATGATTTTTTTTTATTATTATTTAATACCGTAAGATTAAAAGGATATAATTTACCTTGATTGTCTAGATGTGTCTGAAAATTCGTTTAGGGCAACACGATATTTAATTCATCATAAACTAGCAACCTGGTTTTAAACTTCTTTCCGTTAACATTGTAAGTTACGTCTGTTCGTTGTATAGTGGACGATAAAAGGTGCTGTTGTTAGATATAAGAATAATCACAATAAAACAAATGTATTGCGTGTTTAAAATTATTTTACTAACCTTGTTTTTATTTTATTAAAAAGGCAGATCACAAGCCCGGTTGTATTAAAAAAAAAGTTATCCTCAAAATGGCGGATGTTTTAGATATTGAATCAGATTTCCAAGTTAATGTCTTATAATTACTTTAAACTAATTAAATTTACACTTAATCTATTTAATTATCACAGGCTAAAACTTAAAACGTTGCTTTGTTTCAGTTACCTTAACACATACACATATTCATTCTGAACAAAGGTCATGTCAACCTAAAAAGTGAGGTTAACAAAACCTCATTTTACAACGACCAAGTCTTTATTTTCTATTAACTTCTCTTGCACTTCTTGTTCAACCATTTCAATATCGTTTCTACCTTTAAAACTATCTTCAATGTCTTGCAAAGTCCTGTCTTTCGTTTCTGGCAACATTATGAATAAAATAATAAGACCTATGACTAAAGTAGCTGAGTATATTAGAAAAGTCCCTTCAACTCCTATTGAAGAGTATAAATGCGGAGCAGTTTTCATAGAAACAACGAAAGACGGAGTCAGAAATGACGTACTCAAGGTTGATCCCAAACTTCTATAGGCTAACGGAAATATTTCCCCACAAATAACCCAATTTAATGGTACTAAACCTAAACAAAATGACAAAGTATACAATACCATTAAAGACATTGGTAAAATGCTTGTAAACCACGTCTCTATATAGAGTCCAGCGTTCCTAATATAGATAAAGACAGAGATAGAGGATAGGGATATAACGGTCATCACTCCACTTGTAAACAGTATCGTTCTTCTCTTAAAATACTTGAGCAGAAATATTGCTAACAGCGCACAAATTGTTCTCAACATATCTATTATAGTAAATTGCAAAGCCACTTCTTCTGGTGTTTCCTTGTTTAATACAGCTTGCAATATATGATTTCCATAAGCAGGCACCATATGAGCGCCCCCGAATTCGAAAATAATCAACATAGTTATAGCTATTATTGCAGGCTTATAAAATTCTTTTTTCTTGAAAATCCTTAGTACTTCTTTCAAAGCGTTGATTACGCTTTTCATAAGTCCGTTCCAAGAGAATTTTGCTTCTTTTCTTCTTTGTTCAGACAATTTTAATTCTTTCTTCTGACTTTCAATCATGGCTTCCAATTCCTCATTCTGTTCGACGCCTTCTCCTCTCACCCATCGGAATGCTTTCCTTCCTTCTTCAAAATTCCCTTTAGATATCAACCAACTTGCCGATTCTGGCGAGAGGCTGATAATTGCCATAGATATTAAAGGAAACATTGCGCAGACTACTGCTGTCATTTTCCACGACAGTTGTGCCCCCCACAAATGTGACAAAAATATACCGAGTCCTAAAGACACTGCGAAACTACCAAGAAATGCTCCTCGGTATTTTGGATCTGTATATTCTGCGACTAGAATAGGTGCTACTGGTGTCCTTAGGCCTAGAGCGAACCCGTGCAGGAGTCTGGCCAATATGAAAGCAGGAACAGAGTTTCCCAGAACGAAAACAACCCATCCAAGTAGGGCAGGAATGGTGCAGAGGAGATGTGCCTTCTGACGTCCAAAGCGAGTCATCAAAACGGGTGATACGAAGTTGCCCACTATGCCCATGGCGCCTACTACCGAAGCTGGAAGAGAGAGAAAAAATTTATACATGGGTACTGGTCTTTATCGTACAATGAGAGGAATGTAGGTATATTGCAAATCGTAATCCATTGGGGATTACAGGAAGACGCTATAACGCCCCCTTTCTTAAGTATTTCTACAAAGGATTGGAACATCGGGTCTCCAGCAACTTAGATCATTATCTCAATAAAATTGTAAGTAAGTAGATATTTTTTTTTTAATAAAGAAATTTAAAACTTATTGACTCTTAACAAATAGACCTATTAAACAATTAAAAGATTGTGCAGCCAAAGGCTTCTCAACGCTCAATTGTCGTATTTTTGTGAATGATTTGTATACACTGCAGTAGATTTGCATAAAGACCCTAGTGTTTACAAATAAACCTCGGCCCTTGACTATCGGTCTTTGAAATTTTTTATTTAATAGAGATCATTGTTAGTAATGGCCGCCAGCCTTCTTTTTAATTAAATAATGTCAAGTTATTGAGTTTATCGCAATTATTAGGGCATTTTTCTAATTGCTTTGAACTATCAATTAGTTTATTAAAGTACCTACAGCCAAGAGCGTCAAGAGTCTGGGCTTTGAATAATTTTTACCGATGGACTATTAGATGTTCGCAAATTGCCACTTACCGATCCAAGAAGTATCATGATCCGTCAGCTGAATCTCTCTCGAGCTGCGCAACTGCGCAAATAACACTGCTGGATAGCCGTGCGCGCAGCCGTGTCCGGCGATGTTCAACGCTGCGCCACTCACAACGAACAGCTGGAATGAGAACAGTCTGCCTTTATCAAATGGTTTTTGCCTTCAAATCGAAACCTTTTTTACAAAAAGTAAAACTCGTTGAAAGGAGGTGTCCATTATTATGAGATATTGATTTCAATTTGTACCGAAGGAGAGTAATTTACTTGTTTCAACGGTGATAAAAACCATGGAAAATATTCAATAAAGTGTCCAACCCGCATTATGTCAGAGTCGTGGACAATGGCCCAAATCCTAGTTTATAACATACTATATCTACAAACGCAAGTTCCTGTCTGATCGACGGAATTTTTCTTTGCGTTCGATCTTTGAATGAATAAATAATTAGTGGAGCAAATTCACAAAATAAAATGGATGTCATGGTAACAAAATATTACGATATGCAGTACAATTAATATTATAATTACCCAAATCATCTAATTTTAACATTTCGTACCTTTTTGGTATAATAAAGCCACATGTGATCAAATTTGAAATATTTATTTGACACACAAGGCTGCAAAGTTGTTTGACGCGAGTGCTTGTATTGGAACCTGAACAAGCGAAGGATAATACTTACATTAATTTTCCGTTTTAGTGAATATTTATATAAAAATACAAGTTGAAACGCGTTACTTCCTTGTGCAATGTAATGTTAGTATCTATTTTATGTTTGTCTGACGTATTTTTACACTCATTTACTATACATTTCGTCAGTTTTAGCTAAAATTCTGGAGCTGTTCGCGGTGCAAGTTGACCTTGAGCACTGACGGCCCGCCCGCTCGTGTAGGCCCATTGGGGCCGCTTCAATTTGCCTCACTTAGCGTGTTCGGACTAGGTTTCTATGGGATAATATTCAAAAACAGAAACCTGCGCGTAGCGAGGGTTTCAAGCCACGAGACGCAAAACAAATTTGCTGCCGAACGAGACACGCAACTTTTCACCTCACTATGGCGAGGAAAATGGTAGATGAAAGAAAAACAATTGAACTATAACAAATCAGTTTTAATAAACAAAATTACTTATCGTTTTGTCAATTTAATGTTAACAGTATTAAGAATAAAATATACCAACGGATTTATGTTACGTAATAATGTACGACAAATCGCGTACTTGAAAGAAAAAGGTGCACCAAAGTCCATCGTCAAATTTGAATTTCAAAAACCTTATCATAACGTTTACACGCAGACTTCTAATGAGAAACTGCCTTTGCCTTTTCCAATGGAAAAAAACAGGACCAGAAAAGAAAGTTCTTCCGAGCTAGTGAGGTGAAAAGTGCATTTATCACAACTCCTATTTGAGCATAACAACGATATGGTCTAAATTTTTCCGTTCATGTTTTAAACCTCTCGCAACTAGAACAGTTGTCATTTTGCAGATGGGGTCTTATTTATTACCCATTATTATTTATTATAATTTATTATCATTATTATAAAATATATTGACTAACCTGTTTAAGGAATGGCTTCATTGTGTGATATCAAGCGGGATGAGGTCTGAAACAAAAATGAAATCAAAATAATTATAAACCTACACATGGGTATGCCAGAAAACATCATCATTATCTTAAATTTGGAAGTTCTCTGTACTTGGAGTAACTTAATTCACTCCGGGGCTCTACCCAGAACACCCACACCAGAATCAATTTAGAAAATATTAATTTTCCTACTTGCTCCTATGTAGAATCGAACACGAGACTTTATCCTGCGCCCACAGTGTAAATCGTTAGACCACTGAGGTCGTCAGAGCCACAGAGGAATATAAAGTATTTACTTAACTCGTAAAGGCCTGCTCATGGCCTGAGCACCCTGAAAATTACTCAACTACAACAACAAATCTTGGTAAGCATTTTCGTCAGAAAGTCCATGATTGAGGCATTGCCCGTCTTACAAGAGGGTGCTGGTCATTCCATATTTTGAATGAGGCATATTTGAACAAACCCCGGGCGGCAGCCAATAACATGGTCGACTTCTTAACCAAGTGTTCCTTAACCCTGCAGTCTCCTACCACTATTTTAATTATTTACGTTTCATATTTAGCATAGAGTTTACCCACGACATTTAAAATTATTCTCAGTGTGATTGCCAGATCGGAAATATAAGTATTTTATACCTCACACTGTATCACGGATTGATAAAAAAACAAAAAATGAAATCAAAATATTTCCAGATTCGAAAAAATGTCAGAAAGAAAAATTAAAATCGAAGATCTACAGCTAATTAATAGCTAACTAGATGTGACGCAAAAATGTCACTATTATTCAAAATATTTAAATTTTTTACTTGGAATTATAAAACTTTTCTTCTAAATACACCACCGTAGTAAAATAATTACTAGTCACGCGTTAAAAAATATAGAACCAAATACACAATAAGTCCGAGATTTCAGAATGAGGTATTATCTACTCTATGTTAATCACTCCCTCGAAGCTTTAGCTTTGAACGTAGAGTGCTAAAACTATTACCTAAATGAATGGATGAACCGTTTTATTCCCGGAGATTATTGCATTACCCCATTTTATAGAGTCCACACGCCTTATGATCTTTATCACGTTTTCTCTTTGACATTTATCAATGCATAGGAAATTTCAAACGGCACGTGGATAAGTTTTAAGTACTTCCACGTATGCATATTTTTATAAATGCTAGGATATACAGATAAAAACGCTATTTATTTATGAGACAAGTGAACAATGGTGTCGATTGCGTCGTTATTTACCTGTGAGTAGGCGCATTGCGAAAATCACGCTATGCTTCCGTCATTGACATTAGATGGTAGCAGAATGTTAACTTTTATCAATGAGGATAGCTCTTAATTTAGTTTTATTTCTCAGAAACTAATCAACAGATATATTTGGCGTTCCTTTTACTTTAGGGTACCATTAAGGTACAATTTTTTTGGAATAATAGTTTTTCATATGGTAAGGCGGGGTAAGGGGTAAGAAGAACGGAAGAGGGACTTGAAGCCTTAACTCATAATTTAAAAATTTTAGCACAATAGTCTCTCAGTCGACAAAACAGACAAAGTTTAAACGATTTTAAAAAGATGTCACTAGTATGCTCCAAATCCAAAAGGCGGTAAAAACAAATTTGACAGTTGTGAAACCATGAAATCCTTTATAGCAGGGTCTCTTAATCTTTTTCTAGTCATGGACTGCTCTCAAAATTTCACAGAACCCACGGACCCTTTTCGAAAAGGTGAAGAAAGGCGGGTTGCATTGACGCGCACCTCGCTCGCTCGTCGGTCGGGTGCGAACGTTCAAAAAGGACACGCGCACAGTTCAAATTTAACTATAACATATTGTATACCAATTTTTATATATAGCATTTGTTATGGTGGGTATGACCCCCAGTGTCCATTACACGGACCCCTTAGGGGTCCATGGAGCAGGTTAAGAAACCCTGCTTTATAGGAAATCCGATGAAACATGGCAAAAAACAGGCAAGTTTAGTGCATTTTACAATTCTTATAAAACTTTAGCTGTTGTTCATAAAACTCTAAACGTTTGACCCAAAATAAAGTATATTCCTCAAACCCCATTCGATCTTAATTAATAAATAAAAGCTGGTAGTTTGAGGCACACCCGCCATTCAGTGACTCTTTCACGAGATTACAGTGACAGACACGCTAGCGACCGCTGTCTGCGTCCAACAATGAGTCACCGTCTGTCTGGCCTCGCGATTCTAGCCATTGGCATTGCTTTTGAGACGGACTTCCATGAGTGTGAATTTAATATGAGTAGATTCTTTCGCAGAAAAGAAAGAACGCCGTGTAAAGCTGTAGCAAGATTAGAGACAAAAAATGCTGAGACATAATGAGCGAAGAAATGTCTGTTATATGTTGCCTATATGTCATGTCATACAAATGAAAAAGTTATTAGCGTATAGCAACGATCTTATTTGACTTATAGGTAATATAGAGTGCGAATTTATTCAAGGGTTCTGTAAAATATTTGTGAGTTTTTTTAGCGTTTGAGAGACGCCACAATCAAGTTTCTGCCCCGGTTCGAAAACATCGTAGATCCGGGGCTGGTGAACTGGTGCCCAGAACTGGTCTATTCAGCCTACTAAGACTGAAGTGGTTGGAAGAAATTTATTAAACAAAGAAGACTGCTTATGTTTTAAACATTACCTATCGTAATTACCATCTCGTGTGATTTTCCTGGGTAGGTCAGGGCTCGATAGACGTTTTTTGTAGATATCTACTATTGTCTTGATAGACTTGTCTAGGTTGATAGCTTGGACATTCTTATGTCAATAAAAGTAGGAATCGAAAAACTATTCGTGGTTATGTCCTTATTTTAAAGCTAGTAGCTTATTTTAAATGCACTATTCATACATACAATGATTTTTCTCCAAGTCGTTTGTTCTTTTTTTACTTACAAATAAATTCTATATTTACTTCCTTTCGTTGGTTTTAACTGGAAACCAGTGCCAAGGAGCTTTTGTATATGCTGAATCTGCGCCTTTTCATAGCTATGACAAAAGTTTTGTTTTTACTTTTACGTTAAAACTCTTTTGAAAAACAAGAGGAATAATTAATAAAAACATGTTTAATACAAATAGTTTTTCCAGGGAAATACTGCCAGCATATGTACCTGCCCACTAAAAGGTGCCTACTGATCAAACTGTAGACACATGACACTTGTCACATTTTTACTTTTATTGTCGCAGAGTGACAGGCGCAAGTGGTAGTGCCTCTCATGAGACCCATGTTCAGCAGTGTGACCACGTTAGTGGGATGTATAGATGGGTGGATGATCATGATAATGATGAAGATTAACCACTTTCGAACATAAATATTTTGATCGACCTAATTTTTTGTTTTTTTTTTTTTATACATGACAGGCAAATGACTCCACTCCACCTGATGTTAAGTGGAAAGTGGTATCCAAACGCGAAGGAACGTAAGTAATTGTAGTAACATTTTTTATGTAATTTTGTTACAAGTAGTACATTCTTAAGAGTGTGTACAACCTCTAATGGCTTTGGTTGGTTCCGCATTTTCATAATAAAAATAAAACACAAACTTACATCGAAATTTTACAAGAAAACCGATGTATTGAAAAGGTACATTGACCTACTTTACATATACCAAATCATTTTTTTATATCAACTGAAGTAAGAACACGTATAAGTAGTACACGATATATATTTTTAAAACGACTTTAATCTGAAAAAATGCCAGTGTCCCAGGCACTCGACCCAATCAAATGAACCATCAATATTTTTTATCCAAAAAAAAAGTAAAAATTGGATTCGAGCTAAGGTAGCATCAATTCTTAAGTTCTAAACGTATAACGGCAGATAAATTATTTACCGTCAAAAAAAAACATGATGAAGTTTATAAAAATAAATTAGCAATGGAAATCTACGATCCTCAATTACCAGGGAATGGGCCGACCGTTTGTCATTGTGTCATATTTCTTCAATAAACATGACAGCCTTTTGAACTATCTACAAACATGTAGAGAAAGTGCAGATGCATTATGTGTATGCACTTTGTGGCAGAAAGTTTTGTTCGAGAAATATCGCTCATAGCGCCTCCCGTCATACATGATATAAGCCCTATGGTATAGTAATTAAGCAGGTAAGTACTAAAGTGCTTAATTGTATTAGTTTACTGCTTTTTTGTGACAGCAGTCTTGGAGTGTTTTTTGTGACAAAAAATACAGCCGCATTTGTTGTCCAAAATGTCAATATCCTTAAATGAACTTGAATTAAGAAAAAACTACACAAACTTTTTATGGGCTTCGCAGTAGGAAGAGCATCGGTTTTTTTTGGTTGCACTTTGATACTTATTTAGGGAAATCGAAGTCTTGTGTAAATTATTTTGAACAGGTACGTAATCTAATATTTTTAGGGCCCGCTATAATTGAAAACATTAAAAGTAATAATGTTCTGTAAACACACACAGAAAAATTTTCTTCAATCCGTGCTGCACCGTAGCTTTGTTCTAAGCATCTGAGCTACTAAGTGTCCAGTTACCGAGTCGTTGAAATTCTCTCTGTTTTCATCATAGATCTTTGTACCGACTTTCGTCGCCGCTAGCAACATCTAGTGAGACATTTTTGAATAACCTTCTTACTGCAAAGTTTATGTCGTTAAATAAAAAGCGTCATCACTAGTACCTACATATTACCCAGTCTCATACAAAGAAATGTCGCGATGACTCGTAACTCCGCTTATTCGGACGCTTATTTTAATTCTTTAGAGATAGCACCCAGCACAC